TCTACAGAAAGAGTTTCAGGCCAGCCAGAACTACATAGTCAGATCTTCTCTCCAACAAAATAAAACAACAACAACAACAAAAATATCTAGAAGTGACACTTGTAGGCAGGCCATGCCCTTCCCCCACCTCAGGCAGAGTAGAGCTTGTTCTATGGGTCCTGAGGTTTATATAACTTTATCAACATTTTCTTCAAATGCACAAACTCCCTGTGGCCTGTGTGGCTTGAAGTCAAAGGTATACTCTTGGCCTCCTGCAAAAATGATAGTTCATCTTTCTGTGGTCAGGGACTGTCACTTCTGCAAAATGACCACCTGGTGGCAGTAGGTTTACACAGACCCTTTTCATCCACCCCCATCTCCAGAAAGTTCCAGTTTTCCCCTAACTGACCCAGGTCACTAATCCAGCAAATAAGTCTACGCTATGATAATGGACATAAGGACTCTGCTTCTCTCTCAATAGCAGGCTTGCCATTTGCTGCATATGCTAAGAGGTTGTTTTTAAACTCAGATAAAGAAAGTGGGGGAATTCTGGACCCACCTCAGGATCACAGATGTCTCTGGGAGGTGTTTCTGAGCAGGCAGGCCTGTTCTGTTCTTCCCAAGGTGTATCCATTGGGGGAGGCGTGGCTTGGATCTCATCACCTGTCCTCCACCTGTTCCCAACGGGCAGCTTAGCATTTAGGCATCAACTCTGGAACCCTACTGCTTGCGTTCAAATCCAGGGACTAACATTTCCTAAAGATGGCTATCATATAAGGAGCTCAACTTCATCTCTGTGCCTCTATTTCCTGGTGTGTAAAACAATGGAGGAATACTGATTTCATGTCATTGCTGGGTTAGGTGCAGTAGAACATACAAAGCACCCCAGAAGAGTGACTGGCCCACAGGGAACCCCTATAAGCCGTCATTGTCTTCATCCACACCTACCTGCCTCTTATTCTTCAGAACAAACCCTCTGACCACTATCCTTCACCCCCAAACAGGTGCTTCCAAGGAACTAGGTGACAGAAGTTGGGAATCCAGCATGATAACCATGCCTGCTCTCCTGGGCACGATGTTTATCAGACCTTATGATTTTCTTGCAAGTTGGAGCCAATGCCCAAGGATGCCAAAATATATGAAGGGTCAGGGGCACTGACAGGATCAGACTCCAGAAAGCCTGGCTGTGTTTTTATGGAAATCTTTGAACATTTACCTTGTAGCTTCCAGGAGTTTAACATGAACAGATGAGCACGGTGTACAAGGGCTGCCGGTCAGGGTTTCTCTGTATTGTTTTGGAGGCTGTCCTGGAACTCACTCTGTAGACCAGGCTTGGTCTCGAACTCACAGAGATCCACCTGCCTCTGCCTCCCGAGTGCTGGGATTAAATGCCCAGCTAGAGTTTCTTAAGCTACAATGTTCACACAAGTCTCTCTGATGAATTGTTAAGATATGTCATGTAATTCTGAAACTTTGGGAGCTGTCTTCCTTTTTAAATTATGTTTATTTATTATAATTGTGTGTCTGTGCACTGCGTACACGCATGCACACGGAAGTCAGAAGAGAACTTTCAGGAGTTGGCTCTCTTTCCACAGTGAGTTGTGGGGATCAAACTCAGATGCCGAGCTTGGCAGCCAGTACCTTTACTTACCAAGTCATCTTATCGTCCAGAACTGTGGTTCTCAAACTTGAGAATGGATCAGAGTCATCTTCAGGGCTTGTTACAATGCCTTCCAGTTGTAACTTTGATAGATAATGTAAAACATTTTTTTGGTTTTTCGAGACAGGGTTTCTCTGTGGCTTTGGAGGCTGTCCTGGAACTCGCTTGGTAGTCCAGGCTGGTCTCGAACTCACAGAGATCCGCCTGCCTCTGTCTCCCGAGTGCTGGGATTAAAGGCGTGCGCCATCAACGCCCGGCTAATGTAAAACATTTCTAACAAGCTCCCAGGGGATGGTGGCTGCTGGGACGTGGAGCACACTTTGAGGTGAGGCAGCCTGGGGCCCCTTTGCTGGCTTAACTCAGCTCTAATTCTGTGTTCCTGGTAGGTCACTTAAGCTTAGATCATTTCTTTATCTGTTAAGCGGGTATTGGGCAAGATCAACTCCATCCATGAAACACCAGACTGACAGCCTGGAGCCCTGGATCTGACTTGATTGCAAACTTGAACCTCCTTGGGCACTTTGAAAACAAAACCCTTGGTTGTTTATTTCATTGGTCTGGAGTACTGAGCATAGGAATTTTGAAAAAGCATTTGAGGAGGAGGAGTCTAACACCATGGCTCCTAAACTCCCGGTGTGTATTATATTAGGAACCACAGATGACTTGGTTACACCCTCAACTTCTGATGCAGAAGGTCTGGAATGGAGCATTTCGTTTTTAACTTTTTAATTTAAAAGTATATATGTATATATGTGTGTGTGAGAGAGGGGGGAGGGGTAGAAGAGGGCACCAGATCCACCGGTGCTAGTTGCAGGCAGTTGCGAGTTGCCTGGTGTAGATGCTGGCAACTGAGCTTGGTTCTTATGCTGGAACGGTGTGTGCTTAGCCACTCTGCCAGCTCGCCAGCCCTGAGAGCAAGCAACTCTGTAAGCTCACAGGTAGTTTTCCCTTAAGTACCACGCGGCTCTAGGATATTGCTGAATACAGTCTTGGTTTGCCTAGTATATCATGCTGGCTGTTTCAGGGATGCCATCATACTAGCCTGCCTGTATCTACTGGGGTCAAGGGAGGACCCTAATGGAAGGGCATGGGGGACAGTTTTTTTTTTGTTTTTGTTTTTTTTTTTTGGTTTTTTTTTTTTTTTTTGGTTTTTCGAGACAGGGTTTCTCTGTGGCTTTGGAGGCTGTCCTGGAACTAGCTCTTGTAGACCAGGCTGGCCTCGAACTCACAGAGATCCGCCTGCCTCTGCCTCCCGAGTGCTGGGATTAAAGGCGTGCGCCACCAACGCCCGGCTTGACAGTTGTTTTTATACTAGCATGGAAGAGTGAATTTGAGGGAAAGAGGGACACCCTTGGTGGGATGACCCTGAGCCCAGAACAAGAAAGACAGTTGTTAAATGCCACTAGGAAGCCTTTGGCTCCACACAAGGAAGAAATTTTAACCCCGAGAATTGCCTGCTCTGAGGAGGGCATCCGTTTCCTCTTTTAGTAGCCGGCCTGTCCCTGTCTGTGTAAGGGTGAAAGGGAGTCCAGCTGAGTTGGGGGCCCAGGAAGTTGAGATACTTCTAGAGGAAGATGGTTGCAGTCCCTCTCAAGTGTGAGGTGCGCGCCTCTGGGATGCACACCTCGGAACCTCTAGTCGGTTTGCGTCATCGTTTTTATCCAGAAGCTTTGTGTTTAATGCAGGGAGACACGGTGTGGCGCTTTCCCAACAGGCTGGGTTTCTCAACCCTCTTTTCTTGCCTATCAGCAAGTGGTTTTTTTTTGCGTGGCAAAGAGGAAGGAAGGAGCGCTAGACAAAGTCAGCAGGTCGCACAGGCAGCAGGTGTCACTTTGTGAGGCCGTGTGCAGGCTGCCTGATTCCTATGGACCCTAGAAACAACCTTGAGGGTTAACTCGGGCAGGGTTGGGGGTGGGAGTGGGGGGGCGCAAGGCAGGTGGCCCAAGGATTTGGCATTTCTCCAGAGGCCAAACCCTATTCCCTCCGGAGGGAAAAAGAGATAGGGTCCAGCCCACGTCGTCAGCCACATCAGAGCACCAAGAGAACACCAAGTCTTTATTACCGGAATTCCTATGAAACAGCTCCAAGGGAAAAAAAACCACACACAGGAGGGAAAAAATAACAAAGTGACACACACAGACTTAGAGCTTTCCCTTCGTGCGCCATGATCAGGCGCACGGAAGGCCCAGACGAGTTTGGAGCACAGTCTAGCTGCCCCAGGCTCATGGGGGGGGAGGTGGGGAGTGGGGAGCTGTCCTTCTCTCCAGGGGTCACAGGACTGGCTGGGTGCCGGCGTGGTCCCCCACCCCCACCCTGCACTGTGCATGTTTCCAAACTTTGTCACTCTGTATGTGCACCACTCTCTGGAGCCCGGGGATGCACGACCTGCAGGAGTTGAGGCGATTGCAGTCCCATTTCCACCACGCTCCCATTTCCTACCAGTCCCTAGCATCTCCCCCCCCCCCGTCACCCAAGCATCGGACCCCACTCTCAACCAGGGCCCCCGCGCCTGCCCAGGCTTCCCAGATCTCTCTAAAGGTCAACGAGTTCCCAGATCAAGGACCGAGTGGGACACAATTGCGGCTTCCATTCTCTTGGCAGAGGTTGGTGTCCGCTGAGCGGTCCTAGAATTACCTCTGTTCTTCAAATCACCTCTGGGGCTCCACCTGAGGCACCCGGCAAGTTCCTGTCCTGGTGCCCCCCCCCCGTGCTCTGCCCCTGGCTGGTAGCCTCTGCAACTTGCACTCCAGCCCGGCACCTTCTCAGTTAGGGTCACCCTCACCCCGAAACTCCAGCACCTTCCTGCCTTACAAAACGGCAGGACCAGTCCAGCCCCTAAAGGGCCCCACTGTGATGTAAATCAAGAACCAGCTTCGGTCTTCAGCCAAACTAAAGACCAAGCTTAAAGAGAATCCTCCAGCTCCGGGGGTCACCCTCCCCATCCCTGCTGGGTCAAGACGAGGCTGCTGGAGGTAACAGCCAGCCCTTAATAGAAGCAGCCCTGTGAGGTGGATCCGAGAAGACCACAGTGTCCAGAGTTCCGTGCAGGTCGGGGCGAGAGTCAGCAGTTCCCGCCAAAGCTGAGATGTCAGCGGTCTTTGCAAAGAAGGCCACAGGGGTCGGGGGATGGAGTAGATCAAGCCCGCTGTGGCAGGAGAGATGGGAAAGAGAAGCCGGAAAAGCCCTTGTTCAGGCCCAAAGAACCTCCGTATGGGCCATTTTGCCAGTTCTTTGACTGCAACCTTGGTGCTTCCTGGGATCTTGCTTCTTTCTCCTCCTCCTCCTCCTCCTCCTCCTCCTCCTCCTCCTCCTCCTCCTCCTCCTCCTCCTCCTCCTCCTCCTCCTCCTCCTCCTCCCCCTCCTCCTCCTCCTCCCCCCCCTCTCTCTCTGGAGGGGTGGTTCCTGAATTTTCTGCTCTTCCCACAGACTGCAAACCAAGTTGTGGCTGGCTGCTGTCTCTAAGTCCCTCCTCCAATCACAAGCAACTCTGAAAGTTCCATAAGTCCTGTGGAAAGTGGCAGTGTCTGGGCTGGACTGTGGCCAAGGAAGCCTGGGCTGTGGTATGCAAGCACCATCTGTCTCAGCTGCAGCTGGAGGGCACTGGGGTTTCTCTCTGGTTGCCTCCACCGGTCAGAGCATCTCTGGCTAGGCGACGCTGCTGCTGGCACCTGGGAGCAGGGAAAAAGTGTGACATTTTCATCACAGGAGCTTCCTGGTCTTCCCCAGCCTGGAGAATACGAGGCCCCTCAGTGGTTCTAGATCATCCTGGACCACAGCTGCTGCTCAACCTCAGGAGTAGGAGAACTCGGTGGGAAGGAAGGCCTGACAGGTGGGAGGCTGCTCCCCCCATTCTGTGCCCCGTTTAGTAGCTGTGGGGGTGGGATGGGGCTACACTAAGTAAGAGGACCCGGAGGGCCAGAAAAGTAATCTCAGGCTAGAGTTTGGTGAGCCCCAGACACCAAGCTGAGTTCATAAGACGTTTGCTTCAAGACATGCACGAGAAAAGCAAGGGAGGAGTGGGACCACAGTGCCGGCTGGTGACGGGATTAACAGGTGGAGCAATGAAGACCCCAGAGGTAAAGCTGTCAAGGCCGTGATGAGGAAAGCTAGGAGGAGGAGGAGGCAGGGAGGAGAGGGTGGCTGGCCCTGAACTGACGGGACGCACTCTCAGGGGTGCAGCAGGGACCCAGCGGATCTGGAAGAACAGCACTGTGGAAGGGGACAACTGGGCCCTAAGAGCAGGAAGGGAGGGATGGAGAGAGCCGAGGGCGGAGCAGCGATTGAGGGAGAGGGAGGAAATCACTGCATGTGGAGGGAAGTAGAGACAGGAGGATCTGAAGTTCAAAGTCAGCCTCATCTACATAGCCATTCAAGGGTGGTGGGGTTACATAAAACTAAATTAAAAGTTGGTATATATAGGGGCTGGAGAGGTGGCTTAGTGTTTGAGAGTACTGGCTGTTCTCCCAGAGGACACAGGTTCAATTTACAGTGCCCACATAACAGCTTAAAACTGTCTATAACTCCAAAATCTGACACCCTTACACAGACATACATGCAGGCAAAACACCAATGCACATAAAATAAAAATAAATAATTAATACACATACACACATACATGCATACATGCATACATGCATACATGCATACATGCATACATACATACATACATACATACATACATACATACATACATACATAGATTTGCAGGGGGAAACCATATGCAATGCCACAAGAGAGGCAAGCCAGGCTCAGTGTTACTGTGATGTCACAGCCCAGCACCTCTGGATCTTTGGGAGGACACATGGTAGGTGGCGGGCTTTCGCCCCAGCTGCTCCTGGTGGTGGCCCCACGCCTTACCTCTTACTGTCCGTCTCTTGGGGTCTCTTCCACCTTCAGTACCTCCTGCCGCCTTCCCCGGAAGTCTTCATCTGAAAGGCAAGGGGAGGCTACCTCATCTTCCACCCTGCAGAACCTCACTTGGGCCTGCCCCCAGGCTGGGCAGGGGAGCTGCCTCAACTGTCCCTTTGCTTGGGTCCTGATGCCCAGGTAGCAGTATGTGGTTGTGCTGAGGCAAAAGGCAACGGAGCACTGTCTTGACTCTACCGCCAGGCTCTGTCGGAGGCCTTGGACGAGTCTTACCCTTTGTTTGGTCCCCGGTTTTCTCATCCATCAAATGGGACAGGGATGATGGACTATCTAGAAGACCTCTAAGGCCTTCTAGTTCTTGTATCTGGTGTCTCCTGATCCCCCCTTTTTCTTTTTGAGTCTGGGTTTCTCTGTGTATCCCTGGCTGTCCTGGAACTCACTCTGTAGACCAGGCTGGCATTGAACTCTCAGAAACCCCTCTGCCTCTGCCTCGAGTGCAGGAACTAAAGGTGTGTGCTGCCATCACCACCTTTCAAAACTGAAGATGTCTAACTTGTGATTATTTGTGTATGAGGCCTGCCTGCCTGTCCCTCATTCCCTAGAGAACACTCTCTAGGAGCCATGCCTGGCATACTGGGCACCCCTTTAGGAACCACAGGAAGGGAGTGGCATCGTGTGCACCACATGGCAAGGGTCCACGTCTCTGTGGGCTCCCTGCCTGCCAACCCTCGACATGTTCCCCCAGACTGAGTGTCCCCTTGCTGAACATTAAACACTAAGGACCTCCCCTTGAAGGGTCACCCATCACAAACAAGTCAGAGCTCAAGCTTCCCCGCCCCGCCTCACCATAAGCATGGCCCTCCACGTCATCCAGGAGGTTGGCTGTTGACACAGCAGCTCCCAGCCTGCCATGCTGCTCAGGAAAACTATCCCAGAGACCAATGGGAACTGCCCCAGTTTATCCAGTCTGCCTGGGCTCTACCCTGCCAGTCCACCAGCCTCAAGAAGCTTCTATCATCCCTTCTGTCTGCAAGCTGCCTAACACTGGCCCTTCTAGGCTCCTCTCCTGGGATCAACCAAGCAGCTAGCCAAGCCCCAGCCCCCTTACCCTGCCCCCATCTCTAGGGACAGAAAGAGTGACTTCTGCTCCACTTTGGCTACTCAACTTTCAATATCCTGGGCCCCCTTGGCTAAGCACGATGGGAGCTTGGGTAGGAAGAGAGGGAAACATCCTTCCACTTGAAGAACCAGAAGTAAGAAAGCAGGCCGCCGGAGACAAGGCTGCAGGGGACCTGGCAAAATTAGGCAACGATTTGCTGATTTCAACGGGAAGACCACTTTTTCTCCCCCAAATGCAGATGGCTTGAGGCCAGAAGCAAAGAGGCCACAGGAGGCATAGGAAGAACAGTGTCCAAGGAGCTGCCAATGGGGTGCCCTGGTTTACAAAGTAAGCAAGGGGGCCACAGAGCCAGACCCTGAGGAAGGTCCAGTTCAGAGGGTCCGGCTGGGGTCTCCATCACTGTTCCTAGGGCTCACCACCCCAGCCCAGCGCCAAGCAGAAGGATACGACTGAAGCTTCGGCAAGTGTCTCCTCTTTGACTTCCTCATTTTGGTCTTCTCAGAGAAGGCTCGGGCGAGTTCAAACAGCTTCCTACGAGTGGCTGGGGCAGAGAGACTTGTAAGCCCATCATGCTCCGGATAGCCGGAGCATCAGATGGCTTCCCTCCAGGTTTGGGGCAGCCAAGGCAGCACCAGGCCCCTTGGGCGGGGACTGGGGAGAGGAAAGTACAGGAATTGCAGACACCAGTGCCACCTAGGGAGCAAGTGTGCCATCCCAGGTCGGCCTCCAGGGGCAGCACAGGCCATCACTAGCCAAGTACACAGCCTGTCTCTAGTCCAAGATCCGGGTATTCCTTCCCGAGAGGCCAGAGTCACAGATCTTGGCTTTCTTTCCCGCCCCTCCCCAGCCACCTCCACAGTTGGTCCTAGGGTTTCCATGACTCATCGGAAATTCTCCCTGAAATAAAACCCTGAAAGGATCCCGGCCTCATTCCCCCTGGTTATGGGTCTGCGAAACTGGAAAGGGGAGAAATGACAAGAAGCGGACAGCAAGAAGAGGTCCCCTGCCCCAAATGTCTCCCAGTCCCACAGAAAGCGGACCCAGTCAGCGCCTCCTGTCTCGGCCAAGCCCTCTCGGCACAGAGAACGTGGACACTGACATGCGTTATTTTTCTTCAGACAGCTGGCTGGCTCAAGAGGATTTAATTTGTCTCCAGACTCAGCTGCAGAATAAAGTAGGCAGGAAGGCTGAGGGAGCTAGCCTGTGATTAAAATGTCACCCGAGTTCACCAAGAGTCAATAGCATTAAAAATCCTCAAGGGTGGGGGCTCCCCTTCTCTCGTGAGGCCACAGGTCCTGCCTTAGGAGAGCTGGGACAGGGGTGTGACGGGAGCAGGACTCACATTTTCCCATGTGTTTCAACTTGTCCCTGAATAAGGCATCTTCTGACACAGTGGGGTTGGTGTCACTGGTTCCTGGAAGGAGGAGACACCTGCTGAGGGACCAGGCCCATTGGGTCTCTGAGGTCCCACTAAGGGAGAGGGAACACAAGCAGCCGCCATGGCCCTGGGGAAGTAGATGACACGGCTCCCCGCCATGGCCGTTCAGGTCTGTCCTTACAGCAGGAGTGCCGGCTTCTTCCCTAACCCGGGGAATTTAAGGCAAGTTGCAAGAGTACTTCTCCCTTGCAAGGTGCATTCTCTTCTTCTGAGCCAATGGGGGCAGTCTTAAGAGCTGCTGCCCCTGTGGGAAGCCGGCTGGCACAGAGTTTCAACTTCTGTGAACAACCCCATATTCTCAAAGTCATGCAGGTAGTTTGCAATGAGCTGGGTGGGGAGATTTGCATGGTGGAAATCCCTAGAGACTGCACCCACAACAGAGCAGACTGTTAACCATTTGCCAGCACATCAGGGCCCTCTGCGCGTCCCAGCTCTGGTGAATTGAAGCAGAAAGGACACAGAGTCAAGAATGCCAGCGCGACCTTGTCCTCCTTCCAGGTTCAGCCCCTCCGTTCTTCCCTCCCGGATGTTGAACAGGATTGAGAGCAGGGCTCAGCCCAGAGTCAGAACCTAGGGAGCCACCGGGAGGAAGCCTCCTAACTCACTCCTCACCGAGTGGATCTCTTATTGCCTTTCATTCACGGCTTACCACCCTGTGTCACCTTGTCACTCTGATCCAGCTCAGCAGCCCCAGTGTCCCTCATTAATTTGGGATCGAGGACAAGGAGCTCTGTGAAAACTCCCAGATGAACATCTGGTGGGGCCTAAGCTCCTGGCCTCTTGCTTATGAATCAGTTCTATGGGATTTTCTCTCTCTGAGCTGGGATTAGCGGGGCGCCTTACCCTTCTGCTCCTGTCTTCCCAGCTCTGCTCTAGGATGGAGGCTCTGCTCCTAGAAAAACTGCTGAGCCCTTTTGCATATGTACAGGGGTGAGAGCAGTGATGGGCCAGGGATCCAGAGTCCACGGGCCAAGTGCAAAAGCAAGGTTCTGTTCACACTCCCAACCTCAGCTCAGCTATGGTCTGTACATATTAGTAGTCTGTTGCTCAAGCTCTGGTCTCTCAGCCCCACTGCTGCTGGCTCTGGAGGAAGTCAAGAAATGAGCTGGGGAGCAGTTATATTAGGGACTTTAAACTGGGGTTCTCTGGCCCTCCTGAGGCAGTGCTGAACCACCTAGCTGTCAATGCTCAAAACTCACTTTTTCCTGCCTATGGCAGGGCATGGCTCTGAGCAGGTAGTCCTCAGCTACTTAAATGAATGAAGAGCCCTTCCCAGATTAATTTCACCCTCATCCTCTCCACACACTGGACACAGTCAATGTGTGTGTCTTACCTTTGCGGGTTTGCTATTAGACATTAAGCCTCAATGGATCAAACCTCCCCAGGCTCTGAGACCTTCCTACTCTCAGTTGCTATTAAGGGACATTACATAGTTCAGTGTGTCCTCTGGTAGCCCACGATCCAGAAATAGTTGGGAGGTCAGCCAACCTGTGGTAACCTACAGTACGAGCCCGAGCACTGAAGAAGGTATCTCACCTCACAGGAGGCCTCCTTTCTGGCCTGCTGAGGGGCCTCATCTTCCCACCCTTGTTTCCTCATCCTGCCCCCAAACTCTCTTAAAGTTGGAGTGTGAGCCCACTGAACCCATCAGGCTCTCTCTCAGGAGAGCAAGCTTACCTGGGACAGAGGAGGGAAGGCCTAAGTCATTTCCGACAGCCACATTGCTGGATTTGGATTTCTGGGATTCATACTTCAGTCGATCTGGAAAAGGAGATGGTTTCTATCAGAGAAGTGAGCTCCGGGACACCTGGGGTGGGGCATATTGGAGGCTGCTGGAGGCTGAACCCCCTGAAACACACATAAATACACACATGCACACAAGAGTGTCTAGCAGTTGTTGAAGAACTTGTGACAATAGAAATGACTGCCTGATAAGCATCCGCAATGTTAGAGCGTCAGGACTAGCAGTTTCCAGAGAGTCCAAGCCTAGTTTATTCTATTGTTTTAGGGTTTTATATGGAGCCCGGGCTCTCTTGGAACTCATAGCTCTCCTGTCTCAGCCTCCTTAATGCTGGGGTTGCAAGTATGCAGCTGCGTGCCCAGTAGGGCCTCTTTTGTGCCCCTGTGGGTCTGCTCCCACCATCCCGATACCCTGACAGTACAACTTGCTATGTCCTTCCCAAACACATCAGACTCCCTCTCTACCCTCCTCCCTCCCTCTGTGACCTCTATAGGACCACCTCTGCAGTCCTGTCTCCAAACCCTATCTCAAAAGGAAAGACATCCCAGGTGGGGGGCAGGGTAACCCATCCATAGAGGATGCAAATACCCTGCTCTAACCTCTTCCATTCAGGAAGCCTCCCATTCTGGAGTCAGTTACCTTGTTCCCAGGGTCCAAGACATGGTACCTCTGCCCTATGGCTAGAGGTTGGTGGGAAAGGCAGCATCCCTTCCTGTCATCCAAGCCAAGGCTAATGCAGGGCGGAGGAGAAGACCCTAGTGGGCACATCCCTCTTCCTCTGAGTTCCCAAGCGTTCCCAAACCCCCACTGACTGAATCCCAAGGCTCCTGTATAACCCAGGAGGGCTATGCCCATGCAGGTTCAAAAGCATCTGGCACACTGGCCTCCAGTACAACCCCCTCCTGAGGCCTGAAGTCACTGCCCGTATCATTCTCTTCTCTTGTGGTGAGGCGTGGTGCCCACCTCTCTCCAGGGCAAGGAGAAAGTCACGGTTGCGCTGCAGCTCCTTCATGAACTCTTCGTTCTGCAGGAAGAGGGCAATTCTCTCGTCCTCCAGGTACTGCTTCCAGCGGCTGTCCTGGTCGCAGGCACCAGGTCCCGGCACTGGGGCTGGGCCTCCCTCTCCACCCATAGGTTTGGAGCCCCCGGGGTGACCCTGAGGAAGAGTTAGCATACAGATCACCTACTTCAATCCATGTACACCAGTCTACAAATGGGTGCCTTCCCAGAATCCTCCAGCCCCATCCTGCAGTCCTCTCCTCCCAACAGGGTCCCGTCATTGGCCAAAATTCACTGGAACAACTCAGAACCGTTTGCTCAGCAAAAGCAGGGAAGACATGGATAAGGCTTTTCCTCCCAACCTAGGGCCCCCTCATTCCATCTTCTGGAACCTAAATTCTGCAAAGCGATTTGTAAACAGCTCAACCACCTGTCCGTGGGCTACCCAGTCTCACGCTTCTCTCTCCATCAGTTGCATGCCCGACCAGCAGGAGCGCCTTGGAGCATGCCAGCATCTGAAAGAAGCTTCCAGGAGAGGAAGGTGCAGCCCTGGACCCCACCATTAGCTACCCCATTTCCTTCCCTCCATCCTGAGGTGATGGCTGCAGCCAGACAGCATTCTCTGGCAGCCACTTCCCCTGGGCCCAACAGGAACCATTGGGTCAGATGAGAAGCAAGGCCGTGGGCTCACCACTCTTCCCTTATAAACTCTATTCAACAGAAGCAGCTCAGCCTAGACTCAGAAACCAAGGAGCAAACCTGACTGGCACTGAATGTGTAGAGCAGAGAAGACACTGGACAGGCAGGCAGGCTTGGAGGCTTGAGGGCAGCCAGGTACCTGAATGCTGTCCATCTGCTGGGGCAGGATTCGGAGAAAATCATCAGGAAGGTTGCCCAGTAGGGGTGGGTTCCAGTTCCTGTAGCGACTCTGGCTTGCAGGTTGTCCAGAGCCCAGGACATCAGTGCTGGGGGGAGGGAGGTAAGGAGAGCAGGGAGCAGTCAGGCCTAGCCACAGCTCTGCTGGCCTGTCACAGGTCCTCAGGAAGACGGTGGTCTCACTCAGAGCATCCTGTGCCTACACTGCCTTCAGACAAAGGTACAGATGTGTATTCTTCCGGATGAGGGAAATGGCACGCCGAGAGGGAAGGCGGCCAGACCAGGAGCAGTGACGACCTCTTCTCCTCCCCCTCTGTCAGCAGCTCCTTAGCTCCTCAGCCTTGGCCTTGGTCTTGGGCTGCTTTCCTGTCACTCAGTGCCTCTGGTGCAGACGTCAATGTTACGGATTTAAATTCAGACTTTATGAATGTCCCGTACAGACCGGGGGTCATATGCTTCTGTGCTTGTGTCCCTAACAGCTGGCACAGTGCTGGACCCTTAAGTAACAGATATCGCCCCCACTCCACCCAACAGACGACAAGTAGCTTGCTAACAGCCCATCCTATCCTTGCTTTGTTAGGGGAAGGGAGCTCCCAAGATTCCTGGACAATCAAGCAGATCTGAGTTCCCATTCTGGCTCAGCTACAGCCAGTAAAGGCTGGGAGAACATCGAGAAGACCCCGTTCAGACCCCTGGTGCTTCATTAGCAAATCTAGACTCTGTTGACCTCCTTCCAAGGTAATGGGTGTCCCTACTCTGCCCCCCCCCCATGAGCTGTGTCTTGAACTGCTGGAGGCCAAGGTTAGATTGTTGTTTCCAAGGCCTCTTCTCAGGCAAGGTGTGCCTTTGCCAGGTGGCCAGGACTTGACAGGAAGAAGGGCCTGGCTACCCTGACCCCAAGCCCCATCTCCAAGCCCAGGCCTGAAGGGAGCCTGGAGCTGGGCCAGGAACTCCACAGCTCCTCAGCAGCCTGCTGCGTGGCAACCGCAGGACACGTGTCCCGCTGAATCAGGGAAATGACACATGGAGAAGGCAGGCGGCTGGGGGTGGTGGGGACCACGCTGGCCTCAGCCTGGCTTTGATTTGGCCTCCAGCTTCAGGAATCCCTCCGCCCCCTCACTGGAGGGGAGCTTTTCCGTCTGCTGCTAACTTGTGGAAATAACTTCCTTTCCTTTTCTATTTTGGGCTGGTGGCCCGGTGGGTATGAGGGGAGGGCGGGGGCAGCAGCAGACGGATAACCAGCTGCTAAGTGCTAGGGGGAAGCTCGACTGGCAGCTTGGAGACACACAGGGATCCCCAGAGAGGCGCCTGCAGGGGAACCCAGGACACGCATCCCTAGGCCAGGTTTCCCTCACTATGCTCTGCCGCTTATGTCCGGGTCCCAAGTTCTGTTTTCCTCCCAAGGCCCATCTGTCAGTCCCACAGACACCACTTCCAGCCACAATGGGAGAAGGCTTATACAGGCTCCATTTGGGGTGAGGTCGACACCCCCACTCAGTCTCACTTGGAAGCCACCAAGGATGGCTGCAGAGGGAGAGTCCAAACTCTGACCAAGCCCCTCTCACCACTGTGTTTCCTGGATGCCCATGGGATGGGAACTGACGGTAGGGAGAACTCCTTTTCTTCTGGGGTTTCCCTGGCTTTTGGGCAAGGGTCCTGGAGAGAGGACCCAGCTCAACCTTCTCCAAGCCCTGGGATGAAGTCACCCTCAGCTGCAGGCAGCCCCTGAGGCAGTCCAGCAACTCCATTGTGGTTAGAAAGGAATGTCAAAAATGAGCTGTGAGACAAAACTTCCAAGGCTGCAATTTCAACACAAAAACAGCAGGTGGCCTGTGTGGAGGGGTTCTGAGACTCAGGCAGAAGAAGAGAAGGACTAAGCCTGGGAGGGGGAGGGAGAGAACAACCCACACTTATCCACAGGGTGTTGGACCTGCATGGGAAGGGTTTCAGGGATGCACCTTTCCAGAAGTTTTTGTTTCTTTGTTGAGACAGGGTTTCTCTGTGTAGCCTTGGCTGTCCTGGAACTCAATTTTGTAGACCAGGCTGGCTTCGAACTCACAGATTCACCTACCTCTGCCTCCCGAGTACTGGGATTAAAGGCTTGTGCAACACTCTGGAGGACGGTGGTGGCGCACACCTTTAGCCCTAGCACTCAGGAGGCAGAGACAGGCAGATCTCTGTGAGTTTGAGGCCAGCCTGCTCTACTGAGCCCTCCAAAGCTAGAGAGAAACCCTGTCTGGAAAACAACAACAAAACAAAAAACAAACAAAAGCATGTGCCATCACCCAGGCTCCAGAGGGGTTTTAAGTAGAGTCTGAACATGCAGTCCAGCTCTGTCCTATCACCAGCTCATTCGAGAGACACAGTGGCAGAAAGGGACCAGACGACCACTCCTCTCAAATCTAGCTTTCAGCAGCTGAAGACTTTTTGAATACCAGCCTACCAGTGCCCTGCTGCAGCACAGCCTCAGGCTCCCGTAGTCTCAGGGTAAGGTTCCACAGAGTCCCATGACCTGTGTCCCTCTCCACTCACTCTGATGCAATATCCTTCCAGGCGCTTCCTTGGGATGGTCCCCTCTCCCTGCCTCCAGGCCTTTGCACATATTCCTGCCCTCAGATCCACTACACTAATGCTAAGATGTATGAACTTAAGGCCATGTCTTGGAAAGCAGCTTTCTGAGACCCCATGTTTGTGGATTCCCTAAATTCTGATCTACAGAGGGGCCCAGAGTACAAGCAACACACACACACACACACACACACAGGTACACAAGCACGCATACACGCACACATGCATAAACAAATAAATGTAACTGGAAGTATTTAAGTACTTTGGGATAAATGTTAAGGTTTGGGCCTGCAGTGTCCCCACAGGCTTGTATGTTTGAACAGCTGGTCTGCAGCTGGTGGCACTGCTTTGGGCAGTTAATAGGCTCCTTATAGGTGGGCTCTGGATGACAGAAGCAGGTCACCAGGGGCAGGCTTAGAAGGTTGCACCTGCCTCTGGCTCTGGGCCAGTTCTCTCTGCTTCCTGATGTGAAGACCTACAGCCCTCCTCTCTCTTGCTGACAGGATTGTTCTGCCACGCCTCCCTGGCCATTGTGAGTTAAAATCCCTCTCAAACCATGAGCCAAAATAAATCTTCCCTCTCTCAACTCCTTCAAGGGTTTTGTCACAGCAACACACATGAAATACAGGCACTAACAGCAACAACAAAACAGAAGTCAAAGGAAAAGCACTGAACCCTGAGCTCAGTAAGCTGTCACAGGTGTGACCTCTGGGGTCAATCTCACCCAGGTGTCCCACCTCCCCGCCTGCATCCCATGTACCACGGTGAGAAGTCCAGCTCTCTCTTGTCCCTGACTCAATAGATGACCTCTGCCCTGCCCAGCTAACCTTCCAGACTCTCGGCTACCTATGCAATAGCCTGATTTCTCGCAGGGAGGTAATGACATAGCAATGAAGTCAGATGACCTGGGTTCACACCCCAGTTCTTAGCCTTGGGGACAGCAGTGAACCTCTCTGAGGCTCAGCATTTTCATCTGTGAAATGGGTGACAACAGTGCTTTCTACTTAGGTCACTGGGTAAAGAACCACAGCAGCCTCTGGCATTTAAAGGGTACTTGGGGAATGGCAGCTGTTCTTACTGACTTTGTAAGTCCTTACTAACCGTTCTGGGGCTCCTAATGTGCTAGAATGGGGGATCACTACAGCAGGTCCCCATTGTATCACACCCTGTCACCCAATCTGTCATTGTAAGAAACAGCAGCTTCCAGGACAAAGTGGCCACACCTAGGCTCTGCAGCCACCAAACACAGAGCCTACAAAGGCCAGCGCCTCACATACAAAGCACACTGCTAGCAGCTAGCTTTATTTTAAGCTTCCAAGTAACAAGTCTCAAAGCTAAGACAAGTCTCTGGGGACTTGCAGTCCACTCTCCTGTCTCCAGCCATCAAACTACTCCAGAAAAAGACACATCTTCACATTGCTTAAAAATCTTCTCAGCATCACAAGCCCAGGGGTGACACGGTCATCCTACTGGTGACTGATGGTGACCCGGTGGTGCTGGGAGGGATTCTGAGGCTCATCTCTCCCCAGCAGGAGGTGGCACAATGATTAATTACTAATGTGTCCATGGCTGGGGAAGGGAAGGGACAGGACACTATTTCATGAGCTCATCTTCCTACTCTGCCTCTCCCTTGATTACACATTCCCAGAAGCTGGAGGTTGTACCAAGTTTAATTAACTGTGTCCCATAGGCATATGCTGCTATGCCCAACTTTTTACATGGGATCCAGACTCAGGTCCCCGTGTTTGCTCTTGCAGATACTTGACATGCAGCCTTCTGCTTTACTTTTTTGGATAGTTTCTCACTTAACCTGGGACCTACTGATTGGCTCAGTCAGCTGGCCACTGAACTCCAGGGCTCCGCCTGTCTCTGCCCTCCAGCTCTGGTGTTAACAGATGTGTGTTGCCGGCCCAGCTTTTATATGGAGATGGCTAGGAATTCGAACCCGGGCCTCTGTGCTTCTGTACCAAGCGCTTTGCCTGCTGAGCCATTTCCCCAGCCCCACAACACTGAGGGTTTGAAAGTTCTCCTTGGTGTCTAGATGACATGTACCTTGCGGCAGATGAAGTTTGCAGTTGGTAGAACCATCTCTTGTGGGGGAAGCCAGTTTCCTACTGTGTTTTACACAACCCCAACTCGTGTCTTCCTCTGTGTCTACTGTGCCCTGACACCAAATGGATTCTCACCGGGGAGGTGGAGTTGGCGGAGCCACTGGGTAAGGCCTGTCGAACACGTGCATGTGGTAAGCTGGTGGCGAGTACACGGGCGGGGGCTCTTCCTCAGAGCTATCCGGCTCCAAGGTCCTTTCCAAGATCTAAATCAGAGACAACAGAGACATACAGAGAAACGATGACTGACAACGATACTAATGGCCCATCCTCCAGGTACAGGGGCATTCGGATGAGATCAAGGACCGGCGAGGACCTGAACTAAGGAGCTTTGTGCACCGCTGGCTGCTGGGAGCCGCTACTTTGCGATGCCAGCCTCACGTGTTACGGCTAACATGTGGCTCCCATGGCCCCTCAGTTATACTCAGCAACGAGGATAACACACGGCCCCAAAGGACTGTTCGTGGCAGCGGCACCTACCCAGACAAGCTGCAAAGTGGACACAGGGTGGGAAAGAGAGTGAGGGTGGGGAGCCGGGCACTCGGGGCACATCAGGTGGTATGTGCATCCTGGGAAACGCCCCTGGACCAGTCTCAGGTGATGACATCATTCACACCCTCCTTCCTCGTACTTTCACAGCTGTCATCTTAACCCTGCGGGTCTAGTGCGTGAAACCCCAGTTTACAGATGAGGATATGCAGGCCCCAGGGGGTTTTATTTGTTTTGTGGTGCCTGGGATTGGACCCAGAGCCTCACACGCATGAGGCAAATGCTCTGCCACTCGGCTACAGCCCAACTCTTTTTGCCTTGAATTTTGAAATACGGTCTCACTAAGTGGCTCCGGCTGGCCTTGAACCTGTTTCATTACTTCTCCTGGGGAGGTGTGAGCAAGAAAGGACGGCACCAACAGGCCAAAGAAGTGATCCCACCCAAGCCTAGAGGTACTTAGCGGGAGTGACACCCCCCCCAACAGTTGTGCCATCACAAGGCCCAGGCCAGGGTGGGTAATGACTCCTGGCGGCTTCGTGGAGTCCCTGATTCAGTTAACCTCTTGTGTGCTGCAGCAGAGATGCACACAGCTGGTATAGGAGGGCGTGGCTAAAATGGTGGGCGATGGCTCCCTACCGACCCTCGCTGCCTTCTGTGAGGGAACAGCCCCAGCTTGCTGAAGGGCTGGTGTGAGCTGCCATGTCACCTCAGAGGACAGCAGTCCAGGACACCGACACTTCTGATCCTCCTGCCTGAGTGTCTTAGATTACAGGCCCTGGGAGACTGAGTCTGCTTAGACTGGAATCTCCAACATGGACCGTAGCTTCCACGGTCACATCCTTCCCTCAGGGAGCCTGCACACCCAGGTGAAATGCTCAGGGAGGACAGCCTCGCTGCCCGCTGCCCCTGCTCTTCACTCAGGGGGCAGGAAGCAGGGCAGAGAAAGGTCCAGGATAGGCGAAGGCTGAATTCCTAGTATCCGGTGGATGTGAATCTGCCCCAGAGGCATCTGGGCAGATCCCTGTCACACACCTTGCCCCACCCTGCCCTCTTTCTCAAAGACCAGAGAACCTGGAAAGGGTTCAGAGACCCTGGCTGACTCAGCCCCTGACTCCCCCAGCCCCACTTGAACTCTTTAGGGACGGAAGTCACTCCTCAAGCTGTGTCTCGGCTTCTGCCAGCCCAGGGTCCTCTGACACATCTGAGCCCTAGTCCAGCTGTACCCAGCACAGGAAGGCTGGCAGGGATGTCCTGGTGGTGAGCGCGCACAGGCCCTGGTGGTGAGCATGCTCACACGCTGTAGTGCTCAACTCAGCCAGCATGAGCCAAGGAGGCTCCTGCCCTGGAATGCGCACTCCTTCCTGTGAGGCGGAAAGTATTTAAACAGCCGCTTCTCCAGAAAAAGAATGAGGCGGCCCGGCTGGCCGGGCCTCCTCACTACTCATCCCACATTCCACCAGGAAGGAAAGAGATGCCAGGGAAAGGGAATGGTACAAAAAGTGGGGTCCTGACCCCTGCTATCTCCTGTTACCCCACCCAAGATGTGCTCAGCAAGACCCTAGGGTGCCCAGAGGGTTCCTTGCTGCCTCCCCTGCCTGCACGCCCCGTTCCCGTTTCCCACAGCCCTTGGTTCTGAGGGATAGCATCCAGGCTAAGCTTGGTCTGGTGAGAGGGAGAGGAGAGTCCAGTGGGTTTCCTGTGCTCTGTGGCAGGGATGCGGGCGGGCGCTGTACACTACGGTTCAGCTTTCTGCCTGGAGCAGCAAACCCAGCCTCCAGTGAGGAATGCTTCAGTAGTGGGGAGAAGGCAGGTGATGGGCAGGCCAGCTCCAGGAAGGAAGATCTGTAGTCCCAGAGAGGGAACCCCAGCATCTTCCTGCCATGGCTCCATCTTTCTGGCCACAAGGAGCTTGTTCTGGCTCTAAAGGTGCTGGAGGGTCTGTGGCCTCTTGGCCTAACTCACTGTGGGTGATGGATGCCTGCCAGGTGTTCCAGAGGCCGGGAGGGAGGCAGGGTCTTGGCCATTTATCTGACAGGAGCTGTTTCTCTGTGACAAGGATACCCCTTGGGCCAGCCCACCATCCATCAGCCTCTAGAGAGGGGGCTTTTTCCAGTCAGCAGTTGTCATTCTTACTGCTGCTCATAAATTTTCTGTAGCACTCTGCGCTGGCTCGGGAGCTGCCTGATGATGGGCCCAGGCAAGGCTCCAAAGATGGGGGCTGGGAGAGAGCCAAGCAGAGCCCAGAAGGGGCTCAACTGGGACAGCGGCCTGCTTGGGAACAGAAGTGCAGCGCAGGATGGACGCCTCGGGCCGAGGAAGCCTTGCAGAGGCTTCTTGTGATGCATGGGCACTGTGGGCAAAGCAGGAACCACCCCTCCTGCCAGGCCATCAGAACCAACAGGACCACAGAGAGTCAAAGCACGCAGGGAACTTCCCAGCTCACACTAAAAGAATGCACCTGCACGTGCACACATGCACACATACTCACACCTTTTCACGAGACGGGCCTGGATTTTCCACTGTTCTCTCTGCTGACTGATCCAGGCAAGTCAAAAGGGTACGTGACGGAGGAAAAGGTGACAGAGAGCTGTGCAAAGACAGCATCAACAGGGCTGGGGAGGTGGCTCAGTCAGCAAAGGACTTGCCACACAAGCTGGAGGACTTGAGCTCAATACACAGCACCTGTGCAAAAAGCTGGGCTGGTGGCCCACACTAGTAATGCCAGCGCGGGAGATGTGGAGACAGCAGTTAGCCAGCCTTGCCTAATTAGAGAGAGACTCCTCCAAAAACAAGGAAGCTGACTCCTGAGGAATAACACTCCAAATTGATCTCTGGCTTGTACACACACACACAATCCATGTACACACCCATGCACACTCATGTACACGTGCACACACACTCATGCACACACATGCACACTCATGTACACACACACGTAATATCTACTCATTGCAAACCTTCCCCTTGTACCTGCTATCTGCCTGAGGAGAACATACACACTGGCACAAGTCATCATTACCCACACAGCTTCTCCTCCCTGGAGCCAGAATCCTAGAAGCACTCACCAAGGAAGGAAGGGGGAGGTAGGAGGAGCAAGAAGGCGGGGCCCTGAAGTCAAATCTGATCCAGAGTTTCCATGTAAACAAGGGTGACTGTTCTCATCAAGTTTGAGAAACAGAAAGGACATATATCTGAAGCCGCTGAGATGCCCAGCACAGTCTGGACTCTGTAAAGAGTAGAATTCAGCAGGGCCTGGTGGAGCACACTTGTCATCCCAGCTACTGGAGAAACTGAGACAGGAGGATGGAAAGTTCAAGGTCTGCCTGGACTAGAGTAAGCACAGAACTTGGGCTGCATAGGGAGATCCTAGTAAACGAGGATTGGGGTGTGGCTCTGTGACAGGGGGCTTGCTCGGCGCATATGAGGCCCCGGGTCCAACCCTCAGTGTTGGAAAGGAAAGAGTGGAGCTTGCTCCTGTCTCCTGGTCCTCGTCTCATTCACGGCTCTTGCACTAACTGCACGCCTCACCCTTTGCCTGAGAACCGCATGCCCTTTTACACTGGGGGTTGGCTGGGCACAGAGTTCCTGAACAGGGCCTTAGAAAACCAACCACTCCAACAGAGGGCCTTGGTTCGCTGTGGCTGACCATGCCCTCCTCACCCTGGGGATGGTTCCTTGCTTATGTGGATCTTAGGGCTGGAGCCTCACTCTGCACCCATCCAAGCTCTCTGTCTGTAGAGATGCTCCTCCACTCTTCTGAGTGGAAGGTATGGCCAAGCGTACTGCTCTCCCGTCCTCTCTTTGGCCCTGGAGCCGTTCACCTCCTTCTCTGCTCTTGGTATGGGGGTCTCCTTCTCTGCTCTTGGTATGGGGGTCACCTCCTTCTCTGCTCTTGGTATGGGGGTCACCTCCTTCTCTGCTCTTGGTATGGGGGTCTCCTCCTTCTCTGCTCTTGGTATGGGGGTCTCCTCCTTCTCTGCTCTTGGTATGGGGGTCTCCTTCTCTGCTCTTGGTATGGGGGTCTCCTATGCTGTGCCTTTCCCACTCCGATCCACACTAGCCTGTGAGCTCCAAAACACTGTCTGATTTGGCTGGCGAAGGTGACACTCTGCTTTTCCAGAGTCTTTTTTTTTTTTTTAAAGATGTCAGGCTTGGAACTGAGGGGTCAGATGTTGGAATGGGGTTTGTGTACCTACATTTTAAACAAGCACCTTAGTTTGGGGTCTTGTCGTATTCCTAGCATACCACTGAGTGGGTGCTTGCTTGCTGGGTGTTTGTTCAATGACTTCATGACTGCTACTCATAATATAGGTCATTGCCTGATCAAAAGTTTCTCAGAGGGAAAGAGATGCTTGCTGGTTAGAAGCCAGGCACTCTCCAGGGTAGGGAGGAGTTGGGGGTCAGGAGCAACCCAGACCCGCTAAGAGAGACCAGACCACTATTAGTGGCGAATTGTCGGACTCTGCCTCTACCTCTGGTGGGATGCTGTCCTCCGAGTCCGAGCTGTCCTCATAGGCACTGCCGCCACCCGCCTCCAGGTTCATCTGCAACAGCTGGTCGATGGTGGCATCCACCGCGCCGCTGTTGGCACGCAGCACGCACTCAATGATGTCGTAGTCCATGTTGGGGAACATAGTCTTGAAGTCATCCATGGCCTGGTTGAACTCGAGGCGGCGCACTTGGCGGGCCGGCCTGCTGTTGTTGAGTTCCTGAGGGGCTGCGCTGCCATCCCCGGCCCCGGCCCCGGCCCCCGCCCCGGCCCCTCGAGCCCCGGTGGCCCCGCCACCGCCGCTGCCGCTGCTGCTCCTGCGAAATAGACTGGTCATCTTGCTGAGCCACTGCAGGAGAATGTCTCTGATAAGCCAAGGAGCCGCCGGCCCGGGGTCCCTCTGTCAGCTACTTGCTTGCTCCGCCGGGTCAGAAGACTCACTCCTGTACTTGCTCTGTCCACAGGGATACCTGGCAGGAATGCACAGCCCGGGCTAGGGGACAGGGGCCGGGGTGGTGGCGGCATGCGGACCTTGGCCAGGCTGTGGCTATACTGTAGATCACCTACATCCTTGAGTCATCCTGCCACAGGGGGCTGCAAGGAACTGACGGTGTCACCTGAAAGGAGAGGACAGAGTCAGAAGCAGAAGCAAGCAAACTTGAACTCTTTGGTGGTGGGCTGTTAGGAGACAAGGTGACATCTACCCAGCCTAGTTTGGGTGCTGGGGAAGAACCCAAGGCTTTGTGCATATTAAGCACGTTAATAGGTAAATAAATAAGCCTAGAAAAAATGTATTATAAAATATATTTAATATATATATTCTTTCCTATTTGTTTCTTTGTTTTGTTTTCATTTGTGTTGTTGTTTTGAGATAGGGTCTCATCTAGCCCATATTGGCTCCAAACTCCAAGTGTACCTGAGGCTGGTCTTGAACTCTTAATCCCCCTACCTCCCCTTCCTCTCCTGCCTCAGCCTTCTGAGGGCTGGGATCACAGGCACATACCACCATATTCAGCTTCCCAAAACTGTCCCAAAGAACCCTATGATCTAAAGTCTTAATCATATTCCACACCAAACCCAGTTCCCTGCTGCAGTCAACCTAACTGGTGCCCAGGGCTGGCACAGACAGGACTGAAGTCAAGCATGAATAGGGACTGAAATCTACAACAGGACACCACCCAGCCCTCTCAGCCAGGCACTGAAACGGTCACCAAGGTGACATGGCTGTTAGTGTAGACAAAGGAGAGAGAACAATGTCTAGAGCACTGAGAAAGGGGCTGGGGATGCAGCTCGAGGGCGGGGTGCTTGCCCGGCATGCATGAAGCCCCCACACGGAATAAAACCTGGCCTGGTGGAGCAGGGATGTAATCCCAGCACTTGGGAGGCAGAGACCACAGGATTAGGAATTTTTGGCCAGCCTGAACTAGAGAACTTGTCTCCAAAAACCAAAACCAGTGACATACCTTAGTGGGTAAAGGTGCTTGCCACCGGAGCCTGGTGACCTGAGCTCAATCCCTAGGACCTCCATGGTAGAAGGAGACAACTGACTCCCACATATTGTCCTCTGACCTACACACACACACACACACACACACACACACACACACACACACATGCACACACCCAGAGACACACACAAAATCTGGCTCTGATTTTCTCCATCTTATCCCAAGATTTAGTCATCTAGCAGCTTATAGGAAAGGGCGGGGTCTCCCTCTGTAGCCCTGCTGACCTCAAGCTCGTGATTCCTTCTGCCTCTGCTCCCGAGAACAGTGCTACCACCTGCAGCTCACCTAAGGGTGTTTGAGGAGTCGAATGCGAGCCTATTCTGTTTTCTAGGACGGAAGCCATGGCCTTAACAGCAGATGGAGAAACACACAGAGCGGCCACACACTGACTGTTATGATGGGGTCACCCCACTTGGGATGGGAAGACCCGTCGAATGCCATTAATGTTACTACTTCAGCTCAGATCTCATACTCTGGAAGCGGCTCAAGTATTTACCACACTGAGTTCCAAACATCTTACTCCCTCTCTTTCCTCGAAAGGACATGAGCATTCTCAAGGAGCCCTATTCTGGGGGTCTGCCTATTTCCAGGGAGGTGGATTAGATTGGGTTTTAAAAGCTTTTTAAAATTCCATTCACTTTGTGGTGGGGCTGGCACATGTGCTGTGGCACACACAGAGGTCAGAGGACCAGCTTGTGGGGTTATTTCCTTCCATCATGTGGGCCCTGGCGGTCAAAGTCTCGTCATCAATCTTGTCTGTAAATGCCTTTTTCTCCTGAGCCATCTTGCTTTTTGTTTGTTTGGTTTTTTGGTTGTTTGCTTGTTTGTTTGTTTGTTTGATTTTTTTGACACAGGGTTTCTCCATGTAGCCTTGGCCATCCTGGAATTCACTTTGTAGACCAGGCTGGCCTTGAACTCATAGAGATCTGCCTGCCTCTGCCTCCCAAGTGTTGGGATTAAAGGCCTGTGCTGCCACTACCCAGTTCTGTTTATTTGTTTTAAAAGACAGGATCATGTAGTCCAGGCTAGCCTTGAACTCACTGTGTAGTTAAGGATGATCTTGAACTCCTGCTCTTCCTGCCTTCATCATCCAAGTGCTGGGATTCCAGCCATGTACCACCATGCCCAGTTAGTGGGTTGGATTTGAAAGTGGAAAATTACAGGCACGCAGGTTCTGAATAACTAGCAGACACTGAGGTCCCTTCCTGCCCTGAGAGAACTTACTTAATGAGATCATGTCTTCACACCATGTGTAGGTATTTGATCCGTGCACATGCCATCATGTGTTTGAGCTTATTTTACCATGGGATTAAACCATAAATTCCACTGTGCTGTTACTTTTATCTACTTAATGGCACATTGTGGGCATCTTCCCACATCAGAACACAGAGACCCCCCCCCCCCCCCATCATGGTACATGCTTGAGCAGTGGCCGGTAGCTCAGTGAGCCATGAGTTACCATCCCACTCCATTTCCTGCCTGCCCAGAGAATCGAGTCACAGTCGGGGAGGCCAAAACAATGTCACAAGGAGAAATAAGAGTGGCCTCAGGTGATCAATTCAGGGATTTGGTTATGAGAATGAGCCCAAGAAGATTGCCACATTTGTGTGGCTTCCTACGGCAACACCCAAGCCCCAAGTCCCAAGCCCCTTCCCCTGCTGTCCTCCCCCTCCCCTTCCCTCCCCTCCCCTCCAGTAGGCGGTCTAAAGCAGCCCAGTAGTTTCATTAGGAGTGCTCCACTCTGGGTGCCTGCACTGTGGCCTCTAACCTCTGGGCCACCAGGCCCCAGAAGCCAAGACCTCAATGTCGTTACACATAGGGTCAGAGGCTCTGGGTAAGGCCCCTGAGAGTACAGCCACCATCTCCCTGCCCCTAGTGTAATTCAGCCAGAAAGATTAGAGGTCAGGCTTGTCACTCTGCCAAGGGCAGCTCCATGAAGAAAGAAGCCACGACCTGGTCCATAAAGAAAAAGAAGAAAAAAGATGGGCTTACATGCAGTCCATGAACTCCTTCCCACAGACCCTTGGATGCTGGGTCTCTGAGTGTTGAGACACCCCTGAGAGGCATTCTGGAATCACCTGTTGCCTCTCCTGTGGGAATCCCAGGGCCTTCCTCTTAGGAGCTCCTTATACCAAACTGGCTCTCAGCCTGCGTCAGAATGTGGCAGACTACCCCGTGAGGCCCAAGGAGGGGTTGCATGGCTGTACTGCCCCGTAAGAGGGAGGGAGGCTATGGGGGCTCTTTCTCAGCCCCTGACTAACAACCCAGGAATCCCTCCAGATCACTGAAGGACATGTGGATTCTCCCAGCACAGGCCAGGTCTTGAGGTCTAGGCAGCAGGGGACACTCCAGCTGAGGTGACCACCCAAACCTGCGCCTCTCCCCTGCAGTTGAAGAGGAGCTCAAGAACATGCAGTGAGCAATGGAAAAACCTAGATCTTTCCACCAAGGCAGCCCTGTGGGTTTGGAGAAAGTGGCTCAGAAATAGAAAGCCAGGAAACAGGATTTGATGGGCAGTCAAGCCTCAGAGACTCCAGACAGCTAGCACAACATTGGGGCTGGGTTCTCAGAGTACTGTTGTCTCTGCTCCTTGCTAAACTTAACCCAACCTAAGGCCAGGGCTGAGACATGCTGGCAGTAGAGAAAGAATCACCAAGTAGTCACTCCTGCTCAAATGAAAAGCAGTTTAAAACTCATAGAGGCACACAGACCACCTGGGACCATGAACTTGTGTGGGCCACTTTCCCGCATCATCTTTTATCGAAGCTCCTTTGATCCTTATTATAATTCTCCAGGCCATCTCCATTTTATCATGGTAGGAATGAGTTCAGAGAAGGCAAGTAACTTATCCAAAATCACACAGCTAGCAGGTAGGAAGAAAAACCAGAATTAGCATCCCACCTCCCAAGAGCTAAAATGCCAAGTAAGGCTTGCAGGGCTAAGAGCCAAGGAGCCTGAGAAATGCAGCCACGTGTGCCGGGGCTTAGGACATTCCATCAAAGGAAACATGACCCAGACGGCATGGGGGAGGTCTGCTGGCACTGCCCCAGACCTGGCTATGTGACCTTGGAGAGAGCAGGACACCTCTTTGAACCCACTGCTAGTGTAGCCATGAAAGCAGGAAGGTGATGAGCTTGTGATGGGCGCGGTGAGTCAAACTAGCCAGGCCCGTTAGACCTCTCCCTGAGCAAATGGGTGTGGGTAACCTCAGGACCTGGAAGCAGAAACTCCATACCTGTCCTCCCCCAGGGCCCAGGGAGCCAGGCCCAGAACAGCCTGCTGCCAACCTCCAATTGGAGTGTGAGAAGCAGCAAGGCCGAGTCACTTGGAACCTGGCCCAGGGAGGTGGGCAGGCTGCCCCAAGGTGGCTCACCCAGCCTTGTCCAAGGTCAACTCAGCCAGCCTCCTGCCTTAAGAAGGCTGTTCGTGAAGCTACGGCCTGCTCTTCACTAGGGGTGAGACAGTGTGAGGACCAGAGGGCTGGGCTCACCGCCAACCCCAGCAAGGTCATGTGACTTAGGAAAATGATCTCTGGTTTCCGAACCTCAGCTCCCTCACTGGCAGAGGCAGGGGGAGGAATTCTGGGGTTGAACTTATGTGGGCTCCTGGAATGGAAGAAGTTCCTGCTGGGACAGGCTGCAATGGGCTGGGCACAGGCCTTGGGGACCCCATGCTATACTTGCTCCCCGAGTAAAGCCGGTGGCTTTAAGTACCTTCTGCCAGCTACATGCTGGCTTCTGGTCTTGAGTGTCCTACAGACATTCCCTCCACCCCACACCTATACAACCTACTATGGCCTCCACCCAGATGCCCACCAGCAGCTCTGACAGAGTGAGCCCAGCCTGTGCCTCCTGTCTGGGCACACCCCTGCCCAATCAGCTTCATGGCCGAGGTCAAAGCTTTGGGAACATCTTTAAGAACGTATCCCTTACACTCTCCACTCCATCTACAGTAATCCCTTTCTTGCTTTTACACTGTCCCTGAGGACGTGGTGGCTTCTCACCCCTCGCCACCTTCCTGCCTCTCTGGGGACTGCACGTTATGGTGGCATGTCTTCCCTTACCTCCCAAGCCCCTGGTGGCTAGTCCTTAGACCCCATCCCAGAGCTT